TATAATGACAAGAAATATTATTATAAATTATATTAATTAAATAACTATATATTATGGAAATACACTATACATTAAAAAATTAATATTGATGACAGTTTCTCTTTAGTGCAAGTATGCCCTCTATGTATCCTTCGATACGGGACCGCGTTAACAGAAAATATAAGAAATAATTTTGTCAAAAAGAAATAAAATTTAAATTTGAAAATAAAATTTCAAAAATTTCCACGAATACTAATGAAAATCCATGATTTTCAAGGAAAAAAACTAAATTCCCTGAGAATTCCAGGTTTTTCCGGTTTTTCTCGGTAGTACCCACCCTGTTTAAGTCCTAAATTTGAATTATATCAATGCAATATTATTGTATAATTCCAAAATCATTTTAAAACTTCTTCAATTATGACAAGCACAGAACCGATGGTAAAAAATAACAATTTTTATAGCACTTGAGATTTATCAGACTTCGTCTTAATAACGCTAAATTAAGATATGTCGCTATTGTGTCAAATGTAAATTCTTCACAATATTTTTGAGGAAGAATAATCTTCAAATTTCGTTAAGCTGTAGCATTTCCGGCACATCCCAAAACATATTTTTCAAAGTTATCCAACTAGTAAAGTTATCGTTGACAAATAAATTCCAAGGTAATCTATGGACTTAAAGTCCAATGAATCACGGAAACGCATTTGAGGAAAAACATTTTAGAAAACGCATTTTAAGAATTGACGCATAATCGCGAATCAAACGCGGAAAAGATCTTTTCACGAGTCGCATGTTGCGAAAATTGTTGCGCTGCGGACGAATAAATAAATCATACGTTGTAGCATACGTTGTAGGCATACGAGCAGAAGAAAGAGAAGAATATACGGACAGACATTAAAAAGATACCATTGGTACAGACGGTAACCTGATATACCTGGCGAAACGAATCGCTCGAACCTGTCTGCACGAGGAGACTCACCGCTGTTTCCGCCGGCCAGAAACTGCAAAATTTTTCGCGACATGAATTACGCTTTGATTCACAAAGTGTCTTGAAAGCGTAAAAAATTTTATTCTCTCTCTCTCACTCTCTCATTCACTTCCCCTTATAAGTTTCTATAAACGTGTTTCCGAGGCATTGAGGAAGTGAATGCTCGTACGGGTCCCCACGGGTAGGCATGCAGGATGACAATCGGGAAGTTGCTGAAACTAAATAACTGTCATTTTGTAACGAGCGCGGACGGAATGAGACAAATTGAACACTATACTCTAGAAGGAACTTCGTTTCATTTTTATTGGCATGCGGTGCAAGAGAAAAATATGTATTTATACTTCGTAAAAATAAATCAGTGTTGATTTTTCAGATAATCGCGTCTAAGATTCCAGATAAAAAAATTAGAGAATAAAATGCAATTTTGTTCACCTTTTAATATCCTCTTAATCAAGTAGGAAAGTCGCTCATATATTTATATAATAATATTATATGGTAAGTCCGTTTGTATAATTCGGATGTTATTGAAAAACTATTCAATATACTTTTTGACATTAAATAACTGTGTCTTAAAGAATTTCAGGTAAATTTTTTTACGGAAATGACTTCTATATCGAAATTTTCCGAGTATATCTACATTACTGATTATGATATTCACACACAACTCAAGTTTCAGTTAAACTTTCAGTCCTTTTGTACTTATTTTTATAAATTTTATAAATGTATATTCATTTTGCACAATGTGTGTGATAATAAAAATAACAACGTTTCTATATAATATTGTTCAATCTATCTATTTCAACACTTTTCCTTTTGTCATTTAACACAATTTTTTGTACGATTTTGATTTAATTTTACATTCAACAGTTCGTTAAACGTTATTAAAATTCAATAATATCTCACATATTCTTACATGAAAAGTCAAGGTGGAGAATAGCACGATAAAAATTATAAATCGGTTACAGCATTTACGATTTGAGAAAGAATTCTATTAAAAAAAATATATATATATTTAAGAATAATTTATTTCTGGCTGAATTTAAGAATTGGTTCATTCGATTGTCAGAAACAAGGTCGTCATTCATCATGTTACGACCTAACGCGGATTGTGAATTCATCACCGGTGGGAATATCGAAGGAGCGGGAAAAATTTTGTCGATTCAGTACATCCAAAATGGATTTTTTTGATTGAAAAATAGGTTGAATTTTTAAAAAGGCACGACGCGTTTCACGGATTAGATGAACGCACGTGTTTGCCGCGTCTCCCGTCAGGATTTCCGTGGCACAATGCACTTTCTCGCGGAGGTACAAAAATCCTTCGGCGAAGCAATTCCGCTGGGAGCCTCTCTCGGACGACCAAGTCGAATCATTTTGATCAGATTGGCCTGGCAACATCGCCTCCAACGGTTGCGTTTCTGCGCCCATTCGCGGCGTGTTTCGCACCGCGGGTGTGGGCGAGAATCTTCTTGCCGGGTACAAGCGTCCGTCTCACACGCACACACAAGTATACATTCTATCTTTCTCTCCTCTCTATCTCTTTCTCTCTCCCGCTCACTTTCACTCACCTTTCGAAAAGCAAAGAGGTCCTTCTGCAGCTTCTGCCGCTCGGCCGTGGGCTGCTGGCCCTTCCCCCTGATGAATTTGAGCATCTCGACTCGCCGTTAACCCAACTCAATGTTGCACGTTCTCTCCCTCTATCTTCTCTCTCTCTCTCTTGCGCAAGCACCACTCGAGAGCGAATCTCGTTCGTCACACGCAGGTACCGACACGCACGTTAACCGGCGGCCGCGTGTAATTAACGCATTCTTGAATGAACGCCGCGGTGGATTGCGATGTCGCGTCTTTTTATCGTTCGATCCGGCGCTGTGTTCACGGTGGACGCGCGCGCCCGCGCGCTTCGATATAACACCGCCCGCGCACGTCAGTGTCCCTTGTCTCTCTCGGTATTATCCACCCGCGCGTCCGGTCGCTTCCCGTCCCGCGCCGCCACCGCCGTTACGATCGCACCGCTCGCTCTCACTCTCGCGTTCTTCCTTCCTCCTCGCACGCCCGCGGCACTGCCGGACCTCGTTGCGCTCGAGGTGCTGCGATGTGTCAGCCTGAAAATCGCGTGTATGTATCACCGCTCGCCGACGATACGCACCGCGCGCGCCGGGATACACCCTCTCACGGGACGTACGGGTACCGCGGCGTCGTCGAGCACGAACCGGCAGGTACGACGCAGGGGCGGCGCCCAGGTATCACGAAGCGCCGGGCGAAAACGTGCAACGACACGCGCAACGGAACGCAAAATCATCGAACACCGCACTCGAACGAAGGGCACACGGAGACGTGCGCGCGCGCGGTCACTCCACGTCGCTCTCGCTATCGCGTCTCTCTTTCGCGATCGTGTGGCGTCGACTTTCCCACCGAACTTTTCGCCGCATTCGAGCGCGTTCCCTCGGCCGCGCTCGACTGTTTCCGAGCATCCTCGGCCGAACTCGGTGCGCCGGTGGCGGGCGCGCCCGAACGAACAATGACCTCGAGATCCCCGACGGCCGGCGGCCATTACCAACCGAGGAAAAATCAGAGGTAAATGTCGGAACCGCGCTCGTCTCGATCTTCTCGCCCTCTCGTCTTCTCCACTCTCATCGTCGGTTGGATCGGCGCTTCGGCTTGACGTCGATTCTATCTGCGCGTCTCTCGCGTGCTTTACGTTTCACGATAATATCGATTCTATGTATACGAGTATGACGAAAGCGTGACGTAGTACGTCGCTCCGTTAGATATTAGACGCGCGTTCTTTTCATCTTGTCATGCTTGCGAATTTTTTGCCGTTACGAAAAATACATTACTCTCGCGCGTTTATGTAACAAAGCGATGTTACATTTGCGACGTATGACGTATCTGTCATATATCGGATGTTCGCAGCTGAGAGCTACATTACATGATTATACAGATTCATTTTACAGATTTTCGCTTCTCACTGAACATTCAAATTTCAACGACTTCGTATCAAACTCTCTCTCGCCATAATTCCGGTTTTTGTCTTCATTCTCTGATGATAGCAAAATTTTCTGAAATCTGACGATTTTTGTTCTTATACGACGCATACGAAGTAAAGGTTCGAATATGAATAGGAATAAAGAATAAATTAAATTTAAAAAAATTAGAAAATTATTTTTGACCAATGAAAAAGCGTTTTGTTATTCTTTCTGTACTGAAGCGTGGCTTCCCACATGTCGAAAAATTTAGCTCTTTATTCCTAATTCCTAATATTTAATTTCTTATTTATATTTTATCCGAGTAAGGCCTTGCGCATAATGGGAGGAACTATTAAATTTTGAAAAAATAAAAATTTGCGAATTTACAGCATGAAGATAAATAAAGATTAGAAATGTATAATGCACTTGTGTTCGTTGTGCGTTACATTTAACCTTTATTTCCAAAATTTAATATTTATTCCTATTCCTAATATTTCCTTCATTATGCGCAGAATCTAATAGGAAGGATGGATGTCGACTATATGTCATTAAATATATCAATAAGAAAACATATAAAAAAAATCCGATGTGGCAGATTTTGCTTCTAGACAAAGCGCCATTCTCGACATTCGTGCTGGAGTGTATCGATGTGCGGGCACGCGTGAACACGTGTACGTGTTATATTTATTCTGAGCATGTAGCAGGACGTCACGCATTCAAATTTCCGCGATTTTCTGCCCACCTGATATTATCATTGCGCGGCGATGAAG